TTTGTGTTGTAGACGTCACGACCCCATCAAGAACCAGCAGAAATAAAATCAAAACCTCATCTGCTTCAGCCCGGAAGCTCAAACTGGGCCATTGTTTGGATCTTCCAGCAGGACAATGATTCAAAGTACGCCTCAAAATCAACACAGAAATGGTTCACTGACCACAGAATTAAGGTTTTGCCATGACCACTCCAGTCCCCATCCTGTTGGATGAGCTGAATAGGAGAGTCCACAGTGTGGACCTCAGAATCTGAAGGATCTGGAGAGGTTCTGTATGGAGGAATGGTCTCAGATCTTTGGTCATGTGTTCTCCAGTCCCATTAAGCATTATAGGAGAGGTATACAAAGCATTAAATGAAGGGGTGCTAACAATTGTGACACACACAGATCTGAGAAAAATATTTACTTCATGATAAGATTTAGGTTATTTTAAAACCAATGCACTTCAAATAAAGGTTACATTTTTGTTAATATTTTGAATGAAAGTTCAAAAGGAAAAGCAATAAAAGATGTTTTTTACAGCACGCTTGTGTTTACCAGGGGTGCCAATATTTGTGGAGGGCACTGTTTAGCCATTTTATTTACTATCCAAAACCACTAATGAATCCACACACGCCTTTTGGGTTTTTTAATGCAATGTTTGTGATGGTAAAACAGCAAAAAATCAGACTATTTTGGGGACTATTTTACCTTACAACGCCTGGCATGTACCCCTCCACCATGGATAGTTTCAAATAAATAGATTAAAATACATTTTAAGGCAAAACATTATCACAAAACTATCAGAAAACAGTGTGTCAGACATCAGCAAGTTTCTCTAGAATGGAACATTTCACACCAAACCACTTTGAATGGCTTTGTTTACATCTTAACCATTTAATTATGTATAATTCTTTAAAAATCTGTGGTGCTCCCCTTTAAGTAGGAACAATAAATAAACTTTCTCTCATATAAGGCTGAAACTTGAGTCTGGACAGCCAGGCACTTCGGGTTAATCATTCAGATGCCTGAAGACACACACAGTTCCCCCTTTCACATCTTTATTACTCTGTTACTGGACTTAACAGTCTATAAAGTAACCCTCATGGCTTCCGTGGATATTCCTGTCTCTCCGAACACATTTGAGTCTCCACTTTGGGAGGCTATTAGCTCTGTAATCAGATGTGACAGTGGCTTCGACAGATGAGTGGTTACAGATAGGCTTGGCTGTAGGCCTTACGGAGCATGCTCAGTGTGGCTGAGGCCTCTTTAGAATGCTCCTCACCAGGGATAAGCTGCTCGGCTGCATGCACACCAAATAGCCACCATTACGCTCCATTTGCAAAAAGAAGCAGGAGGGACCTGATGTTGCTGTGTTAGCAAGCCAATTTAATCTCACTGTTACAGGGCGCGTGCCTGGAGGACAATACAGTTCAGCTTGTCCACATGAGTACCCTTGCTAATGCTTTTCTGCATCCAAATTACTTGCGATGTTTGGCTTTCTTTTTTTTCTCTCCGCCTGACCCCTCAGAATAATGACCCACCACTTCAGAAGACTATCGACTGGCCTTAGGCGAGAAAATAGAACGGACTACAATTTAGTATTGGATCAATAGCGTTGTAACAATCAAGGAGCCCATTCCATGGTGACATCATGCTTGCTTTGGAAAACATGAATATGAGGCACACAAGGGAAAGGGCTATGCACCAAGCTTGGACTTTGGTCGAAGTTGCCCGTCTTTGCAGTGCTCATTGGCATTGGTCAGTAGTTCGTGATAAAGTTGACTGGTTTCTGACTTAGAAGTCATTGGCCTATTTTTTGTCACTATTATTTATGTTGGCCATGTTGGAACCATTTAAGCTGCACAACCATTCTAGTGAAATACACTATACTTCCAAAAGTATTCACTCGTCTGCCTTCACACGCATATGAACTTGAGTGACATCCCATTCTTAATCCATAGGGTCTAATATAAAGTCGGCCCACCATTTGCAGCTATAACAGCTTCAACTCTTCTGGGAAGGCTTTCCACAAGATTAGGAGTGTTTATGGGAATTTTTGACCATTCTTCCAGAAGCACATTTGTGAGGTCAGACACTGATGTTGGATGAGAAGGCCTGGCTCGCAGTCTCCACTCTAATTCATCCCAAAGGTGCTCTATCGGGTTGAGGTCAGGACTCTGTGCAGGCCAGTCAAGTTCTTCCACACCAAACTCGCTCATCCATGTCTTTATGGACCTTGCTTTGTGCACTGGTGCGCAGTCATGCTGGAACAGGAAGGGGCCAAACTCCCCAAACTGTTCCCACAAAGTTGGGAGCATGAAATTGTCCAAAATCTCTTGTTCTTCTGAAGCATTAAGAGTTCCTCTCACTGGAACTAAGGGGCCGAGCCCAACTCCTGAAAAACAACCCCACACCATAATCCCCCCTCCACCAAACTTTACACTTGGCACAATGCACAATACAAGTACCGTTCTACCGTTCAACCGCCAAACCTAGACTCGTCCATAGGATTGCCAGAGGGAGAAGCCTGATTGGTCACTCCAGAGAACACGTCTCTACTGCTCTAGAGTCCAGTAGCGGCGCTTTACACCACTGCATTCGACGCTTTGCATTGCACTTGGTGATGTAAGGCTTGGATGCAGCTGCTCGTCCATGGAAACCCATTCCATGAAGCTCTCTACGCTGTTCTTGGGCTAATCTGAAGGCCACATGAAGTTTGGAGGTCTGTAGCGATTGACTCTGTTAGTGACCTCTGCGCACTATGCGCCTCAGCATCTGCTGACCCCGCTCTTTCATTTTACGTGGCCGACCACTTCGTGGCTGAGTTGCTGTCGTTCCCAATCATTTCCACTTTGTTAAAATACCACTGACAGTTGACTGTAGAGTTTTTAGTAGTGAGGAAATTTCACGACTGGACTTGTCGCACAGGTGGCATCCAATCACGGTACCACGCTGGAATCCACTGGGCTCCTGAGAGCGACCCATTCTTTCACTAATGTTTGTAGAAGCAGTCTGCAGGCCTAGGTGCTTGGTTTTATACACCTGTGGCCATGAAAGTGATTAGAACACCTGAATTCAATGATTTGGATGGGTTAGTGAATACTTTCGGCAATATAGTGTGTGTAGTCCCTTAACTGGATTTGAGTAGTGCAGCAAATGGACAGTTACAACTATCGATTAGTGAGGTTTGAAAACATTCTGTTGACCTATTATTACTGTGTGTCTTTTGGGGTAACGTAGCGTAGGTGTTGAATAAATAAAGCCGTGAATCTCTGCTTTAAAATAGATCAGCTCTATTTTTACCTGCGTTTGTTCAGGCTTACAGGCCGCGGTGCACATTAGATGTTTTATTCTGACTGAGGCGGCAGCAGAGGAAGACTGAGCTGGACTGGATGAATGTAATCCATTCTGACTGTTTGACATTCCTGGACTGGACAGGTGATGTATTTTATAAGGCATCGCATTGGTGGTTAGTGTGTACGCCAAAGGAAAAAAAAACTGATAAACAACCCCTATACACAGTGGTGGAGCAATCCGTTGAGGGCCAGTCTGTGTACAGGTTGTTTTGAGGTTCTTGCGTCAGATAAATCTGCAACACGCTGCAACAACACTCCAGAAGAGCGACTGGTTTGAGAGAGAGAGAGAGAGAGAGGGAGAGAGGGAGAGAGAGAGCGACTGCTTACTTCTGCACCGTACTTGAATTTTTCAACATCATCTGACTGCTTAAGAGAAGAGATGAGACCTGACAGTTGTAAAAATCACCTTGGCACACAGCTTCACCAACCTGCCTGCAAGATCAGCTCTCGGGGTGCCGTATGCTCCTCCAGGTGCCCTAGAAAAAGCCAGGCAATTCATTTTGCATGAGCGTACTGTGCCATCATCCAGACAGCTCTTATTTTGCAAGCTTGCCTCCTGCTGAACTGCACATGTGATCACGTGAGGTGCTGGTGTTGGTTACACCTCCGGTTAGAGAACGTGATCTGAGAGTCATAGGGTTGTCTAATTAAAGCTGTCTGGTGCACTGTTTCAGTGAGGTGTGAACAGTTTTCCCAGCGACCTAGGCCTAGCAGCCAGGATACTTCTTTGGAGTGATGCTACAGTGTTCTGCGGTTCCCTCAACAAGCAAGGTTTTTTAAAGGGGCACATCAGCCAAAAATACAAATTGAGCTATTATAGAAAACCGTGTAGGAGTAACAGGAGTAGCTTTTTTCCTGGTTCAGATCTTACCTGACTGATCAGTTTGTAAATGTAAATGGCAAATCATCTGTTCTTGCAAAAGTAAAGTATGGTGTTCCACAAGGCTCTGTTTTAGGGTCCATATTATTCACATTATATATGCTACCACTGGGTACCATTATCAGTAAACGAAGCATCAGTTTCCACTGCTACACTGATGACACATTTGTATATATCAGCCAAACTGGATGATAAACTTCAACTTTACAAGACTGAGGACTGTATAAAAGACCGGATGTCGAGTAACTTTCTCCTACTCAACTCAGATAAAACAGAGGTTCTTCTTCTTGGTCCAAAAGCAGCTAGAAATAAACTGTCTAATTTAACACTTAAACTTAATAGTTTCTGAGATTCCCCAGGTTCATCTGTAAAAAATTGATCCCGTTCTGTCCTTCGATGCACATATAACGAATATTACTAGAATAGCCTTCCTGCATCTCTGCAATATTGCTAAATTAAGAAATGCGATGTCTCTACAGGATGCAGAAAAGCTAGTTCATGCATTCATTACCTCGAGGCTTGACTACTGCAATGCTCTGCTGTTTGGATGTTCCAGCAAAAGCCTTAACAAGTTTCAGTTAGTCCCCTTTTGAGACTTGGTTCGTCTCAGTGTTTCTTCCTCTTGCTCTTAGGGAGTTTTTGCTTGCCACTGTTGCCATTGGCGACGCTCATGGGGGCTCGGACCCAGATTTTTCTGTAAAGCCGCTTTTTGACAACACCTGTTGTAAAAACAAAACAAAAACACGGACAAAAAAACATCTGTTGTAAAAACGTCTACTCACCTCCTGAAGTGGTGCCACAGTCATCTCTAGAGCGGGATTTTCCAGTTCAAAGTTCATAAAACTCTCCTTCTGATGACGCATCCTGAAGGTGACAGAAAAGCAGAAAAGGACTTAATTTTTGTTTTTTTTTTCCTGCTAACTAACTAATGTAGAAGAAAGCCAGATAGGTACTGTTTCTGTGTACTGTTTGGAATCTGAACATCATGTGTGCATTTTTAGGCCTTTACATTACTGGCTACGCTAACATTGTATGATGAGCCAATGCACATTTGTATATTGTCGTCAGAAAACATTTATATGCAAAAAAACACAAAAAGGATACAAAATCATCAAATTCGGTTAAACTATTGAGGCTGAGGGATTCAATGCTGCACAATAGAATATTACATAACACAATAATTCACATTAAATGCTAGCTTTATGCTAAAATGCCCCCTTTTTAAAGGGCCCATGTCTTATAATTTTGTTGTATCGTACATTTTTCCCTGATACTTAGAACGTACGTGTGGTTTTATTTACTAAAGTCGCTCATAATTTACAGAGCCCTGCTGGTGACATCCCGTATAAATAAAAATAATGTGTGGCCATGACTTAGAAAGGTGTGGCGACAAGATAATTGAGTCATGGTCACGACTAGGCATGATCTCGTACTAAGTCGTGGCCACGCATTAATGTTATTTATAAGGGAAGGCACCAGCAGGGCTCCATAATAATTCATTATACCACCACATTCTTACTGAGGTCATCTTAAGAAAGTTTTTGTGGGTGTATGTACCTAAAACAGTCATAATTAATTTTCTCAATTCTAAACTAATTACAATTTTCCAACCACTGTTTATCTCTTAGAATTAAACAGACTGTTTTAGTTACTGTGCCTTTAAGACTGATATCTGTAAATGATCTCTGACCTCGGTCAAAAAGCTGGTATTACATCGTAATACACTGCCACCTAAAGTCTCCTGCTACCTTAACTTCACTTACTCCTTATAACTTCAGGATTAGTAGGCGTGGCTAAACTGCTTTAGGCAAAATAGGCAGATATATGTAAATGCTTGGTGTTTGTGACATCACAAAAATAGTGAATTTAATACGGACTGTTTAGTGTCCATATTTGGACTGCCTTGAATGGGGAGTGAATGGTACATATCGATATTTTAACATTGTTTATGTACTACATAAAACTATTTTATTGTAAAAAAAATTCAGGAAAATTCCGTTTTTTCATGATATGGGCCCTTTAAAGAATCACTATTATATTGTAAAAGTATTATAATTTTTTTGTTCCAATTCAAGAACCATTTAGGGGCCTTTATTTTAGTCAGTGTACTTTCTACACAATATACACTATTTGAAGCTAAACTCTGAAAGAGTGCGCATTTGTTTGGAATTAAATTCGCATGTCTTAATAACGCACTTTGATTTGCCCAAAGAGGATTAGAGGTGACTTACTTCATCCTTTCCCATGTTGTGCAGATTTCACGTGGTGTATTTTCCACATCAAAGCGCTTTATATCACAAGGAGAAATGGATTAATTTGATAGCCTCGAATGCACCACCAGTGCAGGCTGTACCCCCTGCACAGCCTGCCAGCTCTCTCTCTGACAGACCCCTGACCCCAGCTTGACCCTGGCTTTACAGCTCAGAGCTCCTAAGCTGAAAGATGGCATCAGCTCAGTGTGAGGAGTTACTTAGCTTAGCCAGGCTGGCCCACCCTGCAGTTCAGCATCTTCCCCCTCAGCGGCAGCATGAGGCATGTCACACCAGACAGGCATCTGTCTGAGGCCTGTTTAAAGGGCCTGTATGAGGGAAAAGTGACATTTCTCACCGTTTTAAATACAAGTTTAATGTAATATGTAGACATTGTTGATGTTTAAAATGTACCCACTCCTCAGTCCAAACAGACCGTTTTGAATTCATTGCTTTTGTGATGCCATAAAAGCCTACATCAGTTTGGCCCTGCCCATTCATGCTGATGCTATAAGGAGTGTTTTAGCCTGGACTGCTTTCTGAATCAGAGCCAGTACAGGGCAGCCAGTCAGAACAGAGCTCATTTACATATCTCAGTCTAAAAGACACAGCCTAAGTAAAAGGATTACGAGAGGTGAGAAAATAATAATGTAAAAATGAATTATGACTCATTTAGATGCATAAAACCGCACTGAAAAAAGTGTCCCTTCAACTGTTAGTGGATAGATTGTTTGTCAGTACTTGAATTGTTGTGAAAAACTCTAGTGGAAGCACTTTTAACTGGAAAAACAATTCAATTATGCCATGTGACAGGATTTTCATCATGTGCAGAGAGGCACAGCTGGATTGAGAAAAGACTTGACAACCTTTTTTAATTAAATAAATGAAGCTATTAAAGCCCAAATAGTATCAGAATTCATTAGAAAGAAATGAAATCAGAATTAATGGAAACCTTTTCCCCAAAAAAAAACGCTTAGATGGAAACCTTCGATGAGGCATTTCGCTGAGACATAAGATGTTATAACAAACTGCCCAAAGGTCCTATTAGGTATCAACGTCACACTCAAAATGTACCAACTTAAAAAGAAGGCCTCAAATGCAAAATCAACGTTATACTAATAAAGATATGATAACAACAATAGATAATTGACTCACATCCTCAGAAGACATGACCTTCAACACACTCACAATCATCAAGGGATCTGAAGCACAACTGATGTTACAAAAGTTCTTCCACACACTGTGTGCAATTACTCGTTTCCACCAGAGAGGTCTCCAAATCCCCAAATCTTACGTAGTGTAGCTTTAAGCATGTATTCATTTTATTTGATAAAGATTTGATTTAAATAAAGAAACAGTGTTTTTTTTCCCAGGAAATGACATTTTTACATAATATAATTTTATTACTGTAATTCAGCTTCACAAAAATATGTATATTTATTTATTGCTTACAAAATGCGCATAAAGTGGATGAAAGTCTAGTTTCCAACGCTGCAGCAGTGGCCCTGTGGCTCTGTGTTGGCACGGCCTTTGCCTGAATCTATGAGCCCAGCCAGCTTTTCCTTCATCCTCCTGACCGAGCACGGGTCAACGGGAGGTAAAGCTCTAAAGCTCCTTCTTGCTCCCCCTCTGTCTGTTTTTCACCCATTTGGGACTTTGTGTATCTCCATTGTTCAGGGGCATTTTTCTCTTCTTCATTTCTACCTGTTTGATGCATTTCACCAAAACACAGAGACATTTTATGTGTCGTCTCGCCTCATAACACGTCTTTGAACTCAAAATATGTCTTTTGGGTTTCGCTATTGTTTCTGTTTCATGAGTTTAAATGGGCAGATTACTCATGGAAAATTTCATTGCCATGGTGGCGTCCCACAGGATTTAAATTCAGCGTTGACCGTCCACCGTGCGCGGCAGTGAGGTATCAGCGGCCAGCAAGACAGGAAGAGCCAATAACCATGAAATAAGACACTCTGCAACTGTCTGACCCCAATTTCAGCAATAAAAAGACCAAATTATGGCAGAGGAGATTCGGGCCACTCTAACTGTTCTGTTATGAAAGCAGAGTAGTGGGAGATAATAAACAGTGGGAGGTAATAAACAGAGCTGGCTATACTTTCCATTATTTTCTAAATGGAGACAAATGAGATATTGGCTTATTACTCAGCTAACAGGGAAGCTGTCAAAACTAAAATGTATATGTTTGAATTATTGGCCAGATTAGCTTTGACATACGTGAAGTTCTGTAGTATATATGATTTTCATGGTTGATTGGATTAATATGCAGCCAAGCACAGAAAACCAGATAAGAAACCTTTTGTTTGTTTTACTGCATTTATCGTATTTATCTGCAGAAATGTCTCGATTAGACAGTTGTCAGGTAGAAGTTTCAAATCAGTGATGGAGCCTAAAAATGTCATTTATGCAATTACCTCTCACTCCAGATGTAGTCGAGTCAAGACATGTTTGGTGTCCAAATTTAGTCTCTTTAGTTTAAAACTGGAGTCTAATGTTGCTAACAAACATAAGAAGTCAATAGTCACCCAAATGTGTTCTATAGAAACATCCCTAAAACTTCTCCCAATCCACTCAAACTGCATCCAGGTCTTCAGTTAAGTCTCACATACTTGTAGGTGTGGTTCAGGACACTGTATGACTCACTGCCATTGGCATGAAAAGTGCTATATAAATAAAAATGATTATGGATTTAAAAATATATGGATGTTAGACTACATTTGTGATTTCTGTCATTTATTCAGGTTTTTCTTATAGACATATATCTTTAGTCTCAAAAATTCACCATTAACAGTTATTTATAAATACAAATAACAGAAATCCCAAAGATAATCTGTAGCATTCATATGCCGCCGTGTCATCCTGCACAAAAACAGGAATCCAGACAGAAACTGCCACAACACCAGGTGTATAGAGTGGTTGCTCGCTCTTATCAGCTACACGTTGATGTTTTTTTCATCTTTATAGTTCACAGTAAGACATATGGTGTCCTAAACTACATCTACAAGTCTGAGCAACCTTAATAAAGACGAAGAAGTTTGAGGGACGTTTTGGGGACATAATTACAGAAAAGATATGATTACTGACTTCTAGTATTTGTTAGCAAGTTTGGACTCATAGATCACATTCAAAATGAAAGATACAAAATTTAGACACCAGATGTCTCAGTGATGAGTGGAAAATTGTGTAAATTAGTGATGAGTGGAAAATTGTGTAAATTAGATTTTTGCTGAACCATTGCTAGAAGAGTGACCGTTTGGATTAATCAGTCTTCACAACAAGAGCAGAATCACACCTTACCATGGGCAATTATAACACTGGGCTCAGATTAGTAACCATACCCTGTCATACTGCACAGGGTGGTGGACAAACACCTCAAGATTACTGGTCAGACTAAGATACCCCTGATAGCAAGTGGATAGTGGACCACCGTCCACCCTCTGCTGATGGCAAAGCTGGTGGTCCACGGGCATTTTGCTCAGCGTTTTCGGGGAGGCCCACCAGTGGTTAAGCAGAGTATTAGACAAAATTCCATTCATCTTCACTCATTTTCCACTTACAGTCCAATGTACTTATTTTTCCTGCCTTCCTTTCTTTAGTTCT